TTCTTAGGCTTTAGGAGTCTTGTTAAGGAAGTCGGATCCCAAGTTGACATGAAGATTTGGGCCTACTTTCTCTTCTATTAAGCTCAGGGTCTCTATTCTAGTGCCTATAGAGAAATGCAAATCAAAACTACTCTAGTCTGAAAAGCAATTATCAAGAATACAAGCTACAACAATCTGAAGCAAGGAATAATGGCCCAGGGCGACGCTGCCCCCCAGAAGTAACCCCCATTTCCCTCATCAAACATCTCCTCTTTGAGTGACTATCTACTACCACCAGAGCACACCATAGCCCTAACCCGGGGTCGGCGTAGGCTGCAGGCTATGACCTGTAAGGTGCTTATGATTATATAATACCACCTATGGAGAAAGCCCTTGTGAAAACAGACATTCAGATAGCTCTTCCTTCTGGGTGTTATGGAAGAGTAGCTCCACGTCCTGGCTTGGCTGCAAAACACTTCATCGATGTAAGAGCTGGTGTCATAGATAAAAATTATAGAGGAAATGTTGGTGTTGTATTATTTAATTTTGGCAAAGAAAAGTTTGAAGTAAAAAAGGGTGATCAAATAGCACAGCTCATTTGTGAAGAGATTTTTTTTATCCAGATATAGACACTGAAACGGGTTCAGGAGGTTTTGGTTCTACTGGACAGAATTAAAATTTACGTCAAGTATAGAAAATGAAAATGTTATTTTCTTCTTAAAAATAAAGACTTTCTGCTTAAACTGTTAGTATTTTGCATGACTATAAAGCTAGCTTTAGCTTCTAAAAGTTTACTTTTTTACGATAAAGGAAAGAGTTCCTTTGTTAGTATCACACGGAAACTTGTATTTTCTTCAGTTTATGGTTGTATGTAAATCTGCTTTATAGTAATCTAATGCAATTTTTTTAAAAAATTAAATGTACATTAATTTCAAAATTTTAAAAAATATTCAATAAGTCATATCCTTTCAACTTAAAAAAAGAATACAAGCAATAATAAATGTTGGTGAGGATGTGGGGGAAAAGGTACACTCATACATTGCTGGTGGGACTGCAAATTGGTGCAACCATTATGAAAAGCAGTATGGAGATGCATCAGAAAACTTGGAACAGAACCACCATTTGACCCTGCTATCCCACTCCTTCGTATATACCCAAAGGATTTTAAATTAGCATACTACAGTGACACAGCCACATCAATGTTTATATATACACAGCTCAACTCACAATAGCTAAACTATGGAACCAACCTAGCTGCCCTTCAACAACAGATGAATGGATAAGAAAAATGTGGTATATATACACAGTGGAAATTACTCAGCCTTAAAGAATGAAATGATAACATTTACTGGTAAGTGGGTGGAGCTGGGAATATCATGCTAAGCGAAATAAGCCAATTCCAAAAAACCAAAGGCTGAATGTTTCTCTGATATGCAAATGCTAATTCACAATAAGGGAAGAATAAAGTTACTTTGGATCAGGAAGAGGGGAGTGAAGGGAGGGGAGGGGGAATAAGGATAGGAAGGATAGTAGAATAAATCGGACATTAATACCCTATGTGCATATATGATGATATTAATGGTGTGATTCCACGTCATGTACAACCAGAAGAATGAGAAGTTATACTCCATTTATGTATGATGTGTCAAAGTGGATTCCACTGTCATTCATGTATAACTAATAATAAAAAATATTTTTAAAAAGTTGCACAATCTTATTCACATTTATGGAAGATATTTATTTTCATTAATGTGTTGCTTAATGATTTTGAATGAATAACCTTTTGGAATGGACTCTATTCTTCCCTACTTTCTCAAGCATAGCACACTGCTTTAGAATGGTCTGGCACGGAGCCATTCTACCATTTGTAGACAAAACAAAGGCTGAAATGTCATGAAAGGGGGCATCTGAAGACTCTGGCAGTAGCCTCAGGAGAGCAAGACCACTGTGAGGAGGGCTGCTCCTCAGCCTTGGGGCTCCAGCTTTATAACTTGCTCAACATAACCAGAGTGGACAAAGTGAGGACTGACTTTCTCAACTACCAATGGTTTTAATCTATCTACAAATCTGTTGAAATTCCCTGGCCCTTAACCAGAGTTGGTGTTGATTTATCTCTGCTTGAATGTTTGTAAGCTTTATCAACTTGTTTCAGTGTAGAAAGTGATGCCCTATAACTTTCAATATCATTAAAGGTATACCCATCTGTCAGGAGTGGTGATTTGAATCACAGTCTCTGTCCAGTGGCACGCCTGCACTGGGAACTTCTTGTGCAAAGATTCAAGTTAAGACTGCCCAGTTGCTATGGTGACATCCTGCTTAAAGGAAGTTCTGTGCAAGCCAAGGGACTATCACTCTTGACCCTGAGTTCAGACACCGGCTGCCAGGGGTAGAGAATTATGAGCGCAAAAAGACAATTATAATAGAACCTCGTCCTTCAGACTGCTTGCTTTGAAGAAACTTTCTCACAGAAAACCCCCTTGATGTTAAAACCTATATAATAAATGTGCTGAGCTAACTCTGGGTCATGCATCCCTCATCAGGGGATGAAGCACCACCCAGCCCCAGCTTTTCTATGTGTCTGTTTGTCGTTTCTCTATCCCCCATTGCTTTTTGCCAATTTCTAAATTAATGGCTTGCAGGTTGCAGCACCCATCTGCCAAAAACTCTCTTTCCCCTTCTAGAACACATGCAGATGGCCACACCTTTTACCCACACAGGCCATTTTCTGACCCTGCTTCTCTTAAGAGAGAGGTCTTCTTAGAGGGCTTCAGTGCTGCCTCTGTGGACAACCCTTTGGAATGGGTATGTGGACATTTCTTCTAATGTAGCCTCCTGTGTGCTGATTCAGACTGAGAGACTATGTGTCCACCCCAATCTGCTCCTGGGGAAAGGTAAGCAGGCTCAGTTTTGTTCTTCCTTGTCCAAGGTGCATATTTTCCTGCTTGATCTCAGAAAATGACTGAAGCTTTTTCCCCTCTTTTCTTAATAAATGTCCAGAGCTATAAGTCAAGATGCTATAATTCTAATCATTTGTCCCCCAAAGGTCCATGTGTTCAACACTTGGAACCTAGAGAGGTGCTCTGGGGAGGCATTGTGAACCTTTAAGATATATGTCTTAGCAGGACGTCCTTAGATCATTGGGGTCATTCCCTTAAAGGGGTTTGGGGAATCCATGGCCCTTCCTATCTTTTTTTTGACTCATGATGTAAGTGATTTCCTCCAACATGTGCAGCTGCCATGATATTCCAGTAGGAGACAGTGCCCATAGACTTCCTGTAAGAAAGAAGAGAATGAGGTAAATAACCAGAAACAACCAAAAATGTTAAAATATATCACTGTCACCTTTCATTACAAATTTTAGGTTAGAGGAGATGATCCATTCTAGCTCCTTTTCTGCTGACTACAGATTTAAGAGTCTAGAATTGTGATCTTCAGGATGGAGGTAGAGGGCTAGGGATGCAGCTCAGTGGTACAGCACTTGCCTTGTGTAAGGCCGTAGGTTCCATTTCCAGCATAGTGGGGAAAGGAGAAGTACTGTCTATATTAGGGGTGGAGAATTCTTTTTTAAATCTGCACTCCAACTCCAAGAGATACTGACATTAAAAGACAGTGGTCTAGGGATCAGTATTTTCTGAATATCCCGCATAGCTTCTTTGTTGAGCCAGGTTTGGGAACTGTTTTGATCAACACAGTAATAACTTGGGAGTTTTTGAGTTGGCCCAACATGCTCATATACTGCTCTACTTTGCAGATGCCTCTGTCCACTTTTTGCAGCCTTTCCTCTCTTTGCTCATGAATTTACTGCCACCTCCAATTTCCCGCCTTTTCCCCTATTTTGCTCCAAAACACACAAATTCTGCTCCAAAACACACAAATCAGTTTTTCAAAGTCAGAATAATGCACACAGTAACTGCAAATAAGCTGTCCACAAAGAATTGAGATTTCCCTCTCTCTAGAATGTCCTGTGGTGTATGAACTTAGTGACATGCTTTACTAACTTTTCCTTCTAAGGTTTTGGCCCCTCTTGCTTTGCTTTGTAAAAACAGGCTTCATTTTCTTATGTAAATTTTGCTTACCAAAACCCACAGTGTATTTATTTAATAGCTTAAAATTGTCATAAATTCTCATTTCTGATATAAAAGTGATATAAAATTAAATATAAGTGATTCTTATGTTTGCTTTATCACCTCTGCTTTAGCATTACCAAACACAAATGGCCTAGAAATTATGTTAAGACATAATTCCCTCTGGAACAATCCTGGAAACCATTGGCACAGTATTGCTATCTATGGATACTTCTCTTAGGAGATTATAAGTCTTACCAGCAGATAGGGATTTTGTTCCAGGAGATCCACCCTCTGTGGCAGGCATTATGTAAGGGATAAAAACACTCAAGGACTCACATCCACTTAATAGAATTCAGTCAATAAAAAGTAGATTGTACACATATGGCATATATTCATTTCTAATGAAGGAAGAAAGGACCAACAAAAAGTTGCAGTTAGGAGAAAATCAGAAACAACTTTGAATTTATATCAGGAAGATGAGCATTCTTAGACGTCTTGTTCTGAGAGATAAAAATAACTTCGCCAGCTGTTACTCCTATTTTGGAGAGTTACGGGGTAGGCATCACATGGTTGATGAAATTGCTCTCAGTGGCTGCATTAGACTTCGTTTTGCAGGATGCTGAGAATTCCTTCGTCCATCTCAAGTTGAGCAGGGAATCCTGATGCTGTATGTTTTAAGTTATCTTTACAGCAAGCCACAGGTCCTTTTCCAACTCCCCATTCTTAAAACATTCAAGTCCACCTTGGCTCCGGACACCTCCCTAGGGCCACGCCCCCAGCTCCAGAGCTGGGGAGTCAACGGTCTGAAAACCCGGCACCCAGCCTTGCCCAACGGCCTTTTGGGAACTGTAGTCGAGCCTCTCGCGTCTCCGCAGCCAGGGCAGGGTCGCGGACTACAAATCCCGAAAGGCCTTGCGCTCCGCGCCTGCGTTCCCGCGGCCGTGAGAGAGGGCGAAGGCGCCGCGGGCGCTCCTGAGCCTCCTGAGCAGGCTGAGTGGACTGCAGCGGCTGACATGGACAACGCCGGGAAGGAACGAGAGGCGGTGCAGCTGATGGCGGAGGCCGAGAAGCGAGTCAAAGCCTCCCACTCTTTTCTCCGAGGGCTGTTCGGGTGAGCAGCAGAGTGTGCGTGCCCTAAGGGATCTCCGTACCGGGCCCCCTCCCCAGCCGGCAGCCACCGCAGAGTCTCCCACCCGCTCCCTGTGTCCCCCAGAACGTACCTGAAAGCCCTCAGTTCCCAAAGCCCTCTAGAGAACCCCTTCATATCCTCAGCGACCCCTTAAGTCCCCCAGAACGCCCCCGAGGTGCTAGGTGGCCTCCGGCGAACCCCTTGGGGCCCCCCAGAACGTTCCCGGAAACTTTGGGCCCCACATGCCTTCCAGAGAACCCTCTTGGCCTCCAGTGCCACTCTAGATACTCTCCTGAGGCCCTCAGTGTCTCCCTGGGTCCTGGAGAGTGAACCCGGGGCCCTATATGACCTCCAGAGAACCCCCCTTGGATACGAAGAGCACTGGGGCATTCTGGAGGGCCAGGAAGACCCTGCTAGGACCCCCAATGCCTCCCTCAGTCCTCCCAAACGCCCACCCGGACCCTTTGACCCCACGCTCCCTCTAGAGACCCCCCTCCTGCGTTCTTAGAACGTGCATAGGGGTCTCCAGTCTCCGCGCACACTTCAGAGCCTTCAACACGCCACGCTCTCGGAGTCCCCAGAACCTTTTAGGGGCCCTTAGTCCAAGCACTCCTGGAAACCCCCAGAGGTTCTCAGCCACCATCTGCCCTCCAGAGACCTCCGGGTACCCCCTCCCCATTCCCTTCGGCCCCGGAGGTGGCAGCGCGTTGGTGCGCAGGGACCCATACCTTAAGTGGCTAATGCTGGCAAAGGACCCCACTGGCGTGGCGGGTGGGATTTTGCTTTTGGCCGCCTTTAAGCCCACATTGGATAGTGGCGTCGGGGGAGGGGCAGTCAGGGGACTCATCCTGGCGCCTGCCCAAGAGTCTGGTGGCTGTCTGCTGAGGTGCAAGGGGTGGAGCCCCCATTCCAAGCGGTCGTGCAACCGCTGGCCTCTGCCCAGGGGCCTTGTGCCCAATGGTCATCTAGTAGATACTCCTTGGATGAAGAAATGCATTTCCTCAGCATAGTATTTTTCCTTTGCCAAAGATTGATTCATAGCCAGGGCCTCCTGTTTGATTAAGGATAACGCAGCTCTTATTTTAAGTCAGGATCTTTTGGGAAATCCCATTAATTTCCTGTAATTCTTCCACGCTGTCCTTGGGAAGGTTTTAAATTCGGACCTCTTGAAAAGCAGAGGTTGCACTGGCAGCTTGTTGAAGAAATCTGGGTTGTTGATTCTGTGAATGATTCAGCTGTTTAAGATGACAGTGGCAGAAATTTTGTGTGTGCATGCTGTCTTTTTTTCCTTTTGAAAATGAAAAATCCTCTGCCATCACTGAGAGCAAATTTTTATTCTTGAGAAGGACCCGTGGTATATATTTAGCCATTGCATTATAGACACAATTTTATTTCTATACAAATTCAATTGGCACTCTTAGTTCAGAAAACACACTCAATAGGTTTTGACTTCTTTTTGCCAGCCTGATTCTATACAGTGCCTGGTAGTGCAGCCTGTAAAGATTCATAAAGAAAAGGGGCCCTGTCCTCAAGGACACATAGCTGGTTTCCAAATCTCTCATGTGATATGTGGATTGAAGATATGGCTATAAATTATGTATTGTATTTCTCCTTTAAAGTTGGAAAGAGTATTGACTAGTATTTGGTGCTAATGCCAAATAATAACACTTTTTCAATTCACAAAACATTTAAAATTTATGCAGATAAAATTTAATGCCATAGCTTCTCACACTGGGGGGTGATCAGTGTATTAAATCAGGATATGCTTGCCTGCGAGAATCTGTACTTGGCAGAGGAAAAAGCATGACAGTGCTGAATGCTTGTCTCAAGACAAAAACTCCATTTGGCCAAAAGGTATTTTGTTGTGTTGGAAAAGTAGGTCAAATCTTGAGCCAAAAATCCTAAAAAGTATTTTTAAGAACCTTTTTGTTTTTAAAGAAACATCTCTTTGGCTGTTGTTACCCTGTCTTATTGTCAGGCCATATAGGAAAACTTCATCATTTATACTCAGTTGGCACAAAAGCTGTTGCATTCTGTGTCTGACACATAGGCACTGCTGGTCAATTTATTATCCTAGCTTTGAGAACTGGTTTGCTTTTCTGTGCCTCAGTCTCTGCTATAGATGGGGATATGACTAGTACATGTTCTAATTTGTGAGGATCATGGAGTTTATGTTTGTAAAACATTTAGACCATGGACTTGGAGATGATTAAGGGAATATTAATGTGCATATTTATCAAAACTTTAAAATATTGTCAACTTCATTACTTATCAAGGAAGCATAGGGCCAAATGGATTAAGTGACTTTCCCAAGATTTCAGAACCAAAGACTTGGTTATTGACCTTTTAGTGAAAGTGCCATGCAAGTGTTATTTGTGTTCTGAGGACTGTGTTATATCCAGTAATATTTGACTCCTGAAAAGTTCTGGGAAAGAATAATACTTGGAGTTTCATGAGTTTTAATAATACTATATAATTACTTGAAGTAAAAAACTGGACTTAGTTTCACCATTTTAATAGAAAGACTAAGATATAAATTACCACTAAACAGGGAAGAGAGGTGGGAGGGAATAGGAGGGAGAAGGGGAATTGCACGGAAGATAGAAAGAGACCCTCATTGTTATACAAAATACATATATGATGGTGTGAGGGGGAAGGAAAAAAAAGAGAGAGAAATGTCTCACAGTAGATTGGGTAGAGAGAGGGGAGGGGGGGATAGGGAGGGCAGCAGAATACAACAGACACTAATATTGCTGTATGTATATACATGGCTGTATAACCAATGTGATCCTGCAATCTGTACACGTGGAAAAATGAGAGTTCATACCCCATTTGAATCAAATGTATGATATGTCAAGATCATTGTATTGTCTTGAGCAACTAATAAAATAAAAAATAAATAAATAAAAACAAAAAAAGAAAGACTAAGATATATATCTTATTATATAGATATTATATCAATTTTAAATGTTTAGAGTCCTTTGTTACATGTGGAATCATATGTTCTTGTAAGCATCATCTTTCTGGACTGGAATATGTGTCACTCTACCCTGACTTCCTCCCCATTATCCTGTATTTAAAATATTATAGTCTGTCTCCCTGTCATACTCCTGAATTAACAACACAGAATTAATAACATACATATTGACCTGAGCACCATCAGAGCTCACATATTTAAGAACTAATTAGCTGGTGCTTTCAGGGGAATAGGTATTACTTTGAAGAGGTGGCACCTATTAAAAGATACTTGGCATATTGCAGGTTTCTTCACATATCACAGATATTCTTAATATTCTAACTGCAGATTAAAGCCTTTCATTAGTTCACCTCCTCCTTTACTCAGTATTTACCCCCCACCCACACTGCTTTTTATAGCATTATTGTATTCTCAGTGCTATTCATAGCTCTTGCTTTTTTGTTGCTTTTAGTAAAATTAAATAAAAATATTCATCGATACAAGAAAACATCAAATAATTGTTCTGTGTGTAATACACAAATCCATTATTTGTCTGCTTGGTAGGCAAGGTGTCAGTGTTCTTTCCCAAAAGATTCCCCCCTCCCCACTACCTGCAATCCCCCTATAAGGGATGCAAAATTGCAAGAAACCACTGTTAATTATGTGTTCTGTTTTTCTGTTTGACTGCAGGTTAGTTAAATAATATGTTTTTGTAGCTATGGAATCAAACCTTACTTTTTCTGAAGGCTGTAGTATAATATAGTGAAACTGCTACCAAAAGAATTGTGTTGTCGTTTAATTTGTTGCCAGAAATGAGCTATGGGATTTTGTAGTTAATTTCAAATTCTAATTTAGAATCTTAATGAATTACTAGTATGATCTTAAATTGGCCTGAGTCTGACAGTAATAGTTTTGAATTGGAAAGATCTCTTTACAAGCTTACCATCTTGTTGCTAGGAGACCATAGATTGAGGATTAGTAACCTTACCAATGCATATCAAGAAAGTGGTACTTAAGAATGACAGTGGAAAGTTGTTCCTGATAATGCTATCTTCCCCTTTTTTTTTTTCAGTGTTCTCAATCTCAGAGGTTATTTTTTTAAAAAAGCTAAAAATCTGGCAGTGTCATTATAAATTTACTGAAGATCCTTACAATCTATAAGCTATTTGTAAAAATTGGGAATATTTCTTAGCATTGTAAACTCTTATCAGTATTCTTCACTAGGCTTTTTCAATGAAGATTGTATATCTAAGTTTTTCCACAATATAATGGACCATTTGGTAGCCTTCATAAAACATTTAGGTCTTTCTCAAGTTGTGATTCATATTCAAATGTAGATTGAATTTTTTAAAAATCATTTTTCAGATTTATTTATAGAGACAAGTGATATAGTATAAGCCAATACATGTATATTTCTTATAATTTAAGAACTAGAATAATGTACATGCTAGATAATTATTATATATTATATTTAAGAAATAGAATACAAATTATATGTGGGAAGACAATGCATGGACTTTGGTTCTAATTTACTATTTTAGTGACCAAAGCCTAGTAAGTTAAACTTGGAGCTTCTGATTATTTTAGCTTTCAAATGGGCAGAGGGACAGTCATTGTTAGGATTGAATGAGGTGTGAGAATGCTTAGTCAGCTGCTCAGAGCTGTGTAACTTTTCATTATAATCATTTAGTTTTCTGATTTTATGTCAAGTTACAATTTGTATATCAAATGATAAGTTGTCTGCAGTGGCTTTTTCTGTTTGCAGCTTTGCATTGTTTGCTGTATCTCTCGTTTTGGAAGTCTGTTTAGAAGAGATATCACACAGTGATGGTGTATGGCTCCTTGGGAGTCTATCCTCTTTGGTTGTTGTGTCCCAACTCTCACCTAGTTTGTGGCATGCACTAGGCACCTGGTCACTAGTCTCCTTGGTGGAGAGACTGAATATATTAATGTTAATCCTGTTTTTTTTTTTTTTTCCTTTAAGAGCAAAGGGTGTACCATAGTAGTTGCACATAGTAGAAAGGTA